GGCGGTGCCGTGGGGCGCCCGTGCCCGGCAGCATGGAGGGCTGAGGGCGAGCACGGCGGGGCAGATCCGGCGGGATGCTGAGCACCCTGCTAAGAGCTGGGCTCCAAGCTGTCACTTCTCACGGCTCCTGCGAGCAGGTGATCTTGGAGCCGGGGTTAGGCACATTGTCAGGGCAATCTGCAAGGCGTTCACACCTCGGCTCCGCTGCGCAGAAACCCTCCTGACTGGGAGCGGAAAGAGCGCCTGCCTTTGCCAAGGAAATTATTTGCTTAGCTGTGCCGAGCCTCGCAAGGTCGCCGCCTTCCCCGCTCGCGTTGGGCTGAGCTTTCGGCCTTCTGCTCCCTCTCGACAACAGAAGACAGCAAACTCTCTCTGAGCTGTTTCTTCCCCACTAACACGGCCTCCCCCGTTGGATGCCAGGGCATCGCGCTGTCTCCTTTCACCTCGTCACCCTTCGGACACGTTTGTGTGTCCTGCCTCGGTGAGGTGCAAACAGGAGCTCGGCGGGGGAAGGCGTGTGGGTGGCAGGAGCGGGGAGGTGGGGAGCGTTTCTGCTTTGCCATCCGGTAAGTGCCCGAGCTCGCAGCAGGGGACTGCTGTAATTTGCAAAGCTGGTTTCTGGCACACCCTGAAGATCAATAATCTACTTAGCTGAAAGTTTGCCGGATCTCTGCTCCTCCCTTCGTTTTCTCCCATCCCTTGATTAGAGTGCTGGATTCCTCTCACGCCCCTGCTCCAGCTCTCCTGAGCCTTGTGCTCCGTCACATCCCGTTTGCTCACGTTTTCTAGCTGGCTCTCACGCCGATTCCTTGCAAATCGTTGCTGCACCCCGAGCCGTGAGCTGAGCCGAGACGCAGCCGCGGGCCGTGGGCCGTGCCCTGCCTGAAGCTGCACCATCGCTGCCAACACCAAAGCGAGGTGCTGCAGCCTGACGAGACCCCGCCGCTGCCCGCTCTGCTCCCAGCCGAGGATGCTCTGTGACCTGGCCTGGGACAGCGTGGGCACTCCCTGACCGGGTCACAGCGCCCTGGCACGGTGTCCCCCACCTCCTCCCTGCGCAGGACCGTGGCGATGCTGAGCGTGGGCCCCTGGAGAGAGCGCTCCAAGGGCTTCTCCTCCGCCGCATCCCCGGGGAGCGGAGGGGTGGGAGCAGATGTCGGGGCACAGCAGCAGCTTTGCCTTCTTGGAGCCATCCCAGCTCTTGCTCCTGTAGCCACTCACGCCCGAAGCGGTCCCTAAACTTTTAACCTACCTTAAGCAGCTGCCTGTTGAGCATCCGACCACATAGGCAGGCTCCGTAATCCTTACCCACAGCCCCGGGTGCTTTTTCTCCTGGTCTTTTTTTTTTTTTTCCCCATAACTTTTTGGCAGCCCGGCGATGCTGCTCTCGCCGTGCCTGGCTCCGGCGCACAGGAAAGGGTTACAGCTCTCCAGCACTGAGCGTTGAGGTTTGCTTTGTTCAGTGCGATGCATATTTCATACGCTTAGCTTCCCAGCTGGCAGAGGCCTGGAAACCCTGCAAGCTGTCGGGTATTGTCTCTCTCCTTCTTTATTTGTTTGTTGGTTGGTTGGTAGGTTTTTTGGGTTGTCATTTTTGCTGGATTTTTTTTTTTTTTTTTTTTTTTTTTTTTTTTTTTTTTCCAAATTGCTCGCTCGCACGAAAGCCAAACCCCAGTCCCTGACAATAGGGGTCTATCAATAGATAAATGGTTTCACAGCTGTATCTAATGCCGTGCTCTAGCCAGGGCTTTTATGGCGAGTAATTTTCTCGTGATGAGGC